CTCCCAGGAGGGCGAGGGGTGTGACTTCCCTCCCTCCCTCCCTCTCCCCACCCGGGCCCAGCCCAGGGCTGGCTATAAAGCTGGCCCAGCCCGGCCCTCAGCACGCCCCGCTGCTGGGACCCTCCTGGAGCCTCGTCAGGGGACACAGCCGCTCTGCCCGTCCTCCCAAGTGGCAGCATGAGGGCCCTGTGGCTGTGCTGGGCGCTGGGGGCGCTGGGCCTGGCCGGGCGCGGGGCGGCCGTGACCGAGGAGCAGGTCCTGGGCAGCCTGCTGCGGCAGCTGCAGCTGAGCGAGCCGCCCGCCCTGGGCCAGCAGGACGCGGGGCGGCCGGTGCCCCCTGCCCACGTGCGGGCCCAGTACGTGGCCCTGCTGCAGCGCGGCCACGGCGTGCCCTCCCGGGGGAAGCGGTTCAGCCAGAACTTCCGAGGTGAGGCCCTCCCTGCTCCCTGGCCCGTGTGTGTGCGTGTGCATGCATGTGTATGCGTGTGTGCATGCATGTGTATGCGTGTGCGTGTGCTAAGACTGGACATGTCCACCTGGGAAGGCTGCCTGGGGCCCCTTTCTGGACCTGAGACTCACCCCACTGGTGCCCCCAGACAGACCCAAGTACCCCAAGGTGAGAATTCTGATCCTCCACCTCTCAGCTGGCCCGTTCGGTAGCTCGGGGCCCGGAGCTGTCCCTTCCTGTGGATGATGGATGGAGATGGGGACAGAGGAGGCCCCGGGTCCCAGGGCAGTGAGGGGGACCAGGGACTGTAAGGAGGGCGGGTCTCTGCGCTGAGGTCCCCACCCAGCGTACCGGGCTGGCCCCTGCCAACGCCAAGGCATCGGGGAAGAGGAGGGTGGAAGGAGGAAGCGGGTGGGGGTGGGGGTGGGGTAAGGCTGGGGCTCCTTGGGGTCCGTTTTCGCACGGCCACCAATGGCCTGTCCTTGAGCACGTGGCTTGCAAATCACCCACTGACCCTGTTTGGGTCTCTGCACCCATGACCGAGTCTGCCCTCCCTGCCAGTGCTGGGAACATGCCAGTGGGTTGCTGCGGGGGGGAATGGGGGGGACCTAGCAGATCCTGTTAAGTGCAGTCACTCTGCTGTCAGGGGCACAGGGGCCTGAATCCTACCTGCTCAGCCCCCGCCTCTGGGCCTGGGTTCAGCCCTCCGCGCCCAGTGCCCCAAGGTGAGGATTCTGACCCTCCAGGCTCAGCTGAACCCAAAGCTCAGGGCCAGGCCTGCCCTTCCGGCTGTGGAGGTGGTTATAGGCCCCCAGGCCCCAGGGGGATCTGTAGGTAACCGGGGAGATGGAATAGGGCTGTTCTCTGCCCCCCTGGCTGCCCCCTCTGTGGCTGTGCCCTCGGCTGGAGAGGCCCAGCTGACGCTGCTGTCGCCCCCAGAGGTGGCCGGCCGGTTCCTGGTGTCCGAGGCCTCCACGCACCTGCTGGTGTTCGGCATGGAGCGGCGGCTGCCCCCCAACAGCGAGCTGGTGCAGGCGGAGCTGCGCCTCCTGCAGGAGCCGGTGCCCCCGGCCGCCCTCCGCCAGCACCAGCGCCTGGCCCCGCGCAGCGACCTGGCCCGCGTCTCCATCGAGTGGCTGCAGGTGCGGGCCGACGGCTCCAACCGCACCGCCCTCGTGGACTCCAGGTGGGGTGCCCGGGGCGCTGGGGGGGGGGGGAGGAGGGAAAGGGGAGGGCGGGAGGGGGTGAGGGGAAAGGGATGGGGGGCTGGGAGAGGCGTCCCCGGCCCCAGCCCTCAGTCCCGGTGTCTGCCGCAGGCTGGTGTCCGTCCACGAGAGCGGCTGGAAGGCCTTCGACGTGACGGAGGCCGTGAGCTTCTGGCAGCAGCTGAGCCGGCCCCGGGAGCCGCTGCTGCTGCGGGTGTCGGTGCAGCGGGAGCACCTGGGGCCGCTGGCCTCCAGCGCCCACAGGCTGGTGCGCTTCGCCGCCCGGGGGCCGGCGGAGGGCGCGCAGGGCGAGCCCCAGCTGGAGCTGCACACGCTGGACCTCGGCCACTTCGGGTAGGTCCTGGGGAGGAGGGGGCCGCCGGGTGGGCGAGCGGATGGCCCGGGAGGCAAGACATCCCCACTGCACGTCCGTTTCTAACGGTAGAACGTTGTATTGAACCATTGTATTGGCAAATGCCAAATACCTTCAGATATTTTCGATGGGCTTTTATGTTGTCACTGTCACACACATTATGCCAATCACCTAATTTCATTTTACCCTTTTCCACAATTAATTCTTTTTTTTGTTAAATATGTTTTTATTGCCGAAATTGGTCTGGCTCAGTGGATAGAGCGTAAGCCTGTGGATTGAAAGGTCCCAGGTTCGATTCAGGTCAAGACATGTGCCTTGGTTTCGGACACATCCCCAGTAGTGGGTGTGCAGGAGGTGGCTGATTGATGATTCTCTCTCATCGATGTTTCTAACTCTCTATCCCTCTCTCTTCCTCTCTGTAAAAATTCAATAAAATATATTTAAATAAATATGTTTTTTTTTTATTTTTAGAGGGAGAGGAAAGGAGAGGGAGAGATAGAAACATCTATGATGAGAGAGAAAAACATCATCCATTGGCCACCTCCTGCACACCGCTACTGGGGATCAAGCCCACAACCCGGGGAATGTGCCCTGACGGGAATCGAACCAGTGACCTTCTGGTTCCTGGGTGGACACTCAACCCCTGAGCCACACCCAGCCAGGCCCCCCTGATTAAGTCTTTGGAAACTTATTAGCATGATGCTGAGCTGAACAGCTTTCCCCTGACATCCTGGCTTCTTCAGGCAACAAGTCCTAGGCCTGTGGGATCACACAGCCTGCGTTCCACGGAGCTCTGCCTGTGACTGGCTGCAGGGCCTCTGGCCTGTCGCTTCACACGTTTGGGTCTCCGTGTCCTTGGGGTCCTAGGGGTAATGCTGGGCCTTCAGTAAGGTATATGTCAGGATAAAGGCAGGTGCCAGCTGAGATAACATGTGAAGTCCTAGGTCAGTACCTAGCATACTAGGAGATCTTTATTTACTTATTTATTTATTTATTTATTTTAAAAATATATTTCATTGATTTTTTTACAGAGAGGAAGGGAGAGGGAGAGTGTTAGAAACATCGATGAGAGGGAAATATTGACCAGCTGCCTCCTGCACACACCCTACTGGAGAGGTGCCTGCAACCAAGGTACATGCCCTTGACCGGAATGGAACCTGGGACCCTTGAGTCCACAGGCTGATGCTCTGTCCGCTGAGACACACCGGTTAGGGCGCTAGGAGACCTTTAATAAACAGCAGCTGATTTATATTTCAGATGTTTATTCATTCACCATTTACCACAAGCACCCAGCCTTTTTAACATCACAAGAGATGGATCACACGTCTCCCACCCAGATACCCCACTGGGCCCTGCCCAGGGCCCCCTGACCTCAGCCCTCCCCACTGACCTCTGACCCCGCTTCCCTTTGCCCCCACAGAGCTCAGGGCAACTGTGACCCCGAGGCGCCCGTGACCGAGGGCACCCGCTGCTGCCGCCGGGAGACATACATCGACCTGCAGGGGGTGACGTGGGCGCAGAACTGGGTGCTGGAGCCCCCGGGCTTCCTGGCCTACGAGTGCGTGGGCACCTGCCCGCAGCCCCCGGCCGCCCTGGCCGCCCGGTGGCCCTTCCTGGGGCCGCGGCAGTGCGTCGCCTCGGAGACCGCCCCGCTGCCCATGATCGTGAGCGTCCAGGAGGGCGGCCGGGCCCGCGCCCGGGTGGTCAGCCTGCCCGACATGCGGGTGCAGACGTGCAGCTGCGCCTCGGACGGGGCGCCCGTGCCCAGGAGGCTGGAGCCGTAGGCGCTGGGCAACGGGTCACGGGCCACGGAGGCCTCTGTCCAAACACGTGCACCGAAGCAGGTGTTGATGGAGGTTTTAGTGTTTCTTCTTAGCAAGTCACCCCTGCCCCGAATAGGGCCCCTAGTTTGCCTTTCCCGCGTGCTCTACCATTCCTTGTCCTCCTGACCGTCCCCTAAGCACTTACATGAGTAACTACTGCCACTTGTGGTTGCTGAGCAGGAGATCCTGGCTCCTCGCTAGCCAGCCGGGGTGGCTGAGCCTGGGCAGGCTGTTTGTTCTCTGGCAAATTCTCAACCGACTTTGGGACAACACACCCTGAGATAAGACCTGGGGGGAGAACTCGTTTACTCTACTACACGGTGAATGAAAACCAAACCCTAAAATCCCTCTGTGTCCCCTAGATAGGATGCCTAAAAATGAACCCCATCTCCCAAACGTGGAATCCTTTTGGACTTTTGTCAACATGCCTGGGTTCCCTTGCCAGGGCGCTTGTAAGGGGGAGGAGGAGGGACTTCGGGGTCCCCAAGGGCGATGCATAGGGGAGCAGGACACCTGGGTTCTGGATAGAACAGGGCCCCACGCTGCGACGCCATTGCCCTGGGGATCCCCCACACCCTCACCTCCCCTCTCCTCCGCCCCCCCTACTCGGCCTGCCCGCGCATACTTAGAGAACTTATCACCAGTTAGCACCACATGCATTTACGTTTTGTTATTATTATTATTATTTAGAAGGGGAAAACCCCCACAATGGAATGTAGAGAACATGCAGGAATAAAGGCGGCTTCACTCTGAATCCATGCATTTCCACTTGCAGCATCTAGTCCTTCTCTGTTTTGAATGACTCCTCCACGGAGGAGGCGGGCGCACAGCCGCGATGCGACCTCGGATTGGTCCGCGCTCCGAGCTCCCGGCCGAGGATTGGCTGCCGGGGCGGGCGAGGGGCGTGGCCACGCAGCCCGGGGCGAGGCCACGCAGCCCGGGGCGTGGCCACGTAGCCCGGGGCGTGATCACGTGACCCTGCGCGAGGCTGCGAGTGCGCGCGGAGGGTGTCGGGATCCGGCCGGAAGCTGCTGGATCCGGCTTCCGGAGACGCCGCCAGCGGTGCTTTTCCACCTGCCGCCTCCCTTCACGGTGTCTCCCGCCCGCGGGGGGCGAGTCCTGCGGCCGCCGGGGGCACGGAGCGCGGGACCATGAGCGTGGGCTTCATCGGCGCGGGCCAGCTGGCCTGTGCGCTGGCGCGGGGCTTCACGGCCGCGGGTGAGCGCGCGGGGGCGGGGACGGCGCGCGGCGGCCTGGGGATCGGGCGTGGGCATCGCGCGGGGAGCTCGGCGCTGCCGGAGCCTCGTGGGGTTCGGCTCTGCTTGCCCCGGGGGAGCACGGGGGCGGGGTGGGCCATGGCGCCCCGCTGAGACGCCCTGTGTGCTGCTGCAGGCATCCTGTCGGCTCACAAGATCATAGCCAGCTCCCCGGACATGGACCTGCCCACGGTGTCCGCGCTCAGGGTAGGTGCGGGGGCCGAGGGTTCGGGAGACCCTGGAGGGTGGCCTGGATCTCTCGACCCCCCCCCCCTTTTCCCCTCCCAGCTGGTCATCAGCAGGCTGGTAACTACCCCCACCCCCATCTGTTAGCATCAGGATCCTCCCTCGCCCTCCAGGCGAACATATGGAGGTTTTAATGCAGGCCCCAGGGGCGCTTAGATGAAGGGATATTTATGCATAGTAGGTACCCCGCAAATATTCGTGTGTCTTCATGGGCTGTCTGGGGTCCTTATGGCTCTCTGAGCCTGTTTCCTCCTTTGTAAAAGTGGAGATGGCAGTAGCCCCTCTGCTGAGATACAGTGAAGCAAGAAGGAGCCAGGCCCGGTGGTTGTTGTTCCTCTCTCTAAAAAGGGTATCCCAAGTCTTCAGCCCAGACCTGGGCTGCGTGGGAGGGGACGTGCAGTGAGGCAGGTGACGGGCAGGGTGGATGATGGTCCCAGCACTGGAGTCCTGCAGGGAGGGGTGGCCTCCCACCCACCCAGGAGCACACGGAGACCAGGTGGGTTGGGGCCTGACTCGGCTCTGCTTCTCACCCTTGGGTGCTAGCATTTCCCTTTGTTGCTTCCCAGTCCTGGACATTAAAAAAAAAAAAAAATTATTACTTTTTTACAGAGAGGATGGGAGGATAGAGAGTTAGAAACATTGATGAGACAGAAACATCCATCAGCTGCCTCCTGCACACCCCCTACTGGGTATTTGCCCGCAACCAAGGCACATGCCCTTGACCGGAATTGAACTTGGGACCCTTGAGTCCCCAGGCCGATGCTCTGTCCTCTGAGCCAAACAGGTTGGGCCCAGCCCTGGAGACTCCTTAGCTGGCACAGGGCTGCCTGGGCTGGCAGACACTGGTGGGGATGTGGGACAGCCCTTTTCTGGTTGCCATGGAGACGCTGGTCCATGCTCGGCACCTGTGCTCACTTGCCCAGGTGCAGCCTGTCCGAGGGGGGTCAGGGGCAGACCCTGAGGGGACGAGGCAGGGCGTGCCAGGCGGCGGCTGGCAGAGGGGTGGCTGGCGGCAGGGGTTCGGCGGCTCCCGGGGAGGGCCTGTGCCCGGTGGGGCTGCCCGCGCTGTGAGCCGGGCCGATTCCTCCCGCAGAAGCTGGGAGTGAGCCTGACCCGGAGCAACAAGGAGACGGTGAGGCACAGCGACGTGCTGTTCCTGGCCGTGAAGCCGCACATCATCCCCTTCATCCTGGACGAGATCGGCGCCGACGTGCAGGCCCGGCACATCGTGGTGTCCTGTGCCGCCGGCGTCACCATCAGCTCGGTGGAGAAGGTGCCCGGCTTTGCTCCCGTGCCCGGCGGGCGGGGAGGAGGGGGGGCGCCCGTGGGAGCCGGGCCCTGGCAACGCCCTCGCCCTCTTCCTCCCTCCAGAAGCTGACGGCCTTCCAGCCGGCGCCCAAGGTGATCCGCTGCATGACCAACACGCCCGTGGTGGTGCGGGAGGGCGCCACGGTGTACGCCACGGGCACCCACGCGCTGGTGGAGGATGGGCAGCTGCTGGAGCAGCTCATGAGCAGCGTGGGCTTCTGCACGGAGGTGGAGGAGGACCTGATCGACGCCGTCACGGGGCTCAGCGGCAGCGGGCCCGCCTACGTGAGCGCTCACTCACTCCTGAGGGCTCGGAGCGGCTGGGCTGGCAGGCAGCGGGGGGCCGGGGGCCCACCTCTGGGGAGCTGGTGGCGGACCCCGATCCTTGGCTCTAGCAATCCTCAGGGTTGCCCTTGATTGCCTGCACCCCAAGACTCACTGAGGGTCCCCACAGGCGTTCATGGCCCTGGACGCGCTGGCTGACGGCGGGGTGAAGATGGGCCTCCCTCGGCGCCTGGCCCTCCGGCTGGGGGCCCAGGCCTTGCTGGTCAGTACCTCCCTCCGCGTGTCCTGAGCCCGGGGTGGCCTGGGGGCTTGGGGGTCAGTGAGTTGGGGCGGGGCTGGGAGGGAAGCTGGGGAAGTGTGTTCACTCATTTCCGCTCCTGCTCCAGGGCGCTGCCAAGATGCTGCTGGACTCAGAGCAGCACCCAGGCCAGCTCAAGGACAACGTCTGCTCCCCCGGGGGGGCCACCATCCACGCCCTGCACTTCCTGGAGAGCGGGGGCTTCCGCTCGCTGCTCATCAACGCCGTCGAGGCCTCCTGCATCCGCACACGGTGCGTCTCCTTGGCCCAGGCCCCGTTAGCGGCGTTGGGGTCTGTGCCGTTACAGCCACCACTTAGCAGCTAGCGGTTGGCAGGCCTTACGTCATTTAGTTCTCTGATTCCATTGTCGGGATCAGCTTTGATTGATGGGTGAGGAGGTGAAGACTCAGTTTCCCCAAGTCAAACGTGTTTGGTGTGTTGGACTTCTAATTTGGGGAGGTATCCTGTCAGCAAGGGTGGGAGTTACCCGGTGGTGAAGCCTTGAGGCGTCCTGGCTCCAGGGTTTTATGCCTTCCTCCTCCTCCCCTCTCGTCTGCAGAGAGCTGCAGTCCATGGCCGACCAGGAGAAGATCTCCCCTGCCGCCCTCAAGAAGACCCTCCTGGACAGAGTGAAGCTGGAGTCCCCGACAGTGTCCACGCTGACCCCCTACAGCTCCTCCATGGTCCTCACCCGAAGCCCAGCCCCGGGAGGCAAGAAGGACTAAGGTAGCCGCCCCCTGACAGCTCCCGCCGAGGGGCCGGCAGGGCCAGGCAGGCTCAGGTCATCTTCCGATCCTTGTGTAAAACCTCCTCCATCTGTCCAGACCGAGCAGCCCCCGTTGGAAGATGCCTGGCAGGGACGGTAGATGCTAGAAGCCAGGTGAACCCGCACATTCCCGCCGTCAGAGCCCCAGCTCAGGACCTCCCTCTGCTGTCCTCCAGCGCAAGCCCAGAGCGGCGTCAGTGCGATGCCACGTCAGGGAGGTGAAGGGTCAGCCCAAGACAAGGGCACTCCCCTTGGCACGAGCGTGGGCAGCATGGAATTGTCCCCAGCAGGCACGCACCACGTGAGGCCATGCTGGATAGAGAAACTGATTCATTCCCGCTGAGTTCAGCCGCTTTAATAAAGTTTTATTTTTTATTATGCCCGTCTTCCTGCTTTTTAAAAAATGTATATTTTATTGATTTTTTGCAGAGAGGAAGGGAGAGGGGTAGAGTCAGAAACATCCAATGGGAGGGTAACTGATCAGCTGTCTCCTGCATACCCCCTACTCGGGCTGTTTCTGCAACCGAGGCACATGCCCTGGACCGGAATCAAATCCCCCTTCCCCTCCCTGCAGCCCACACACTGCACGGCTCCTCTCGTCTCGGATGGGAGCCCAGCCAGCGTTCCTGGTCAAGCAGCCTCCGTCCGTAACTGAAAACATAGAAAGTGTTTTCTTTCCGAGTGCCGGGCCGTCCTATTATGTGTGCAAGATACACACTCATTTCCTCTTTAATTGAACAATTATAATGTACTTTCTGCTTCCCCATTTCACTGATGGACACACGGAGGCCTGGGCAGGTTAGAAGTACAGCCAGTGAGAGGAAGTCTGACTGCGGGGCTGCAGGGTTCTCTGGGGCAGGAGACCCAGACCCCTCCTTACCTTCAGGGAAGGGGGGGTGGCGTGGTTTTGAGAGACTGGGAAACCTCTCAGAGAAGCAGACATTGTAATTGTTTGCTTTGATTGAAGCAAATCAAACCATCATTCCTCCGTGCCATTTGCATTAAGAGGAAGGAGTGAGAAAGGAGCGTTTGTGGACTTCCTTTTCAGACTGCACGGCCCGCCTCTCCCAGTCAGGACTCCCCTTTGCCCTAAACAGAAGTGTCTGCTTCTGCCGAGGCCCTGCCTCCCTGCTCTCGCTCACCTCCTTGGGGTGCCTCCCCCTTCTCAACCTCCCACCCCCTTCCCCCAGCTCTTTGCCCCCAGCTAAGCCCTTCATTGGCCCCCGGCATCTTGGACCTCATTTATTTAGTTAAAAAACAACAACAACATCTTACTGATTTTTTTACAGAGAGGAAGGGAGAGGAATAGAGAGTTAGAAATGTCAATGAGAGAGAAACATTGACCAGCTGCCTCCTGCACACTCCCTACTGGGGGTGTGCCCGCAACCAAGGTCCATGCCTTTGACCGGACTCAAACCTGGGGCCCTTCAGTCCGCAGACCGATGCTCTGTCCACTGAGCCAAACTGGCCAGGGCTACTTTGCTTTTTAGTAGAGCTTTTTGAGCTGACAAGATGCTGTCACTCATCACATCCGTTGGGATTCTCCCAGCCCGCCCGGCAGGCAGGGGAGCAGGGTGTGTGAGCAGCTAAGCAACGAGGGGAGCTGGGCCAGGACCCCAGGATTCCAAGTCCTCCTTCCGGTTTCCCTCCCAGGCGCCTGGGAGCTGAGTTCTGAAGGCAGCAGGTGGATTCTTGCACAGCAGGCCCCCAGGAAAGCCGGTCCTGGAAGCCCAGTTCTATCCGCCCCACTGCCAGCTGCAGAGGAAGGCTCGCCTGCACCACTAGAGGGCGCCAGGCGCTAACCAGTGAGGGCACCAGGCAACCAGAGGGGCTATAGCATCCAGGGTGTGGGATCCTGGGGAGAAACCCTATCCAGCTCGGTGCCCCGCGTGCCAGCTGTGGCAGGTGATTCATGTGTCCACAAAGCAGAGCAGCTCAGCGTTGGTTAGCGACGGGGATCTTGTTTTTGGCACTTCGCTTCCCCTCTGCCCCTCGCCGTCCTCTCTTGTTTGTAGTGTTGAGTCAGATCTGGCTCTCAGCCAGTGTGGGAGCCCCCGCCCGGCAGGCAGGACCCCGAGAGCAGGGGGGAGGGGGCGCGAACGCTTGTTAAATCGAATGGAGCTGATCGTGGCCGAAGCCCACGTTCCCGGGGGTTCAGGCAGACGGGCGGAAAGCCGAGAAGAATCCCTGCGTGATTGCCAATCGATACGTATTTATTTAGATCTTATGACGGGCCCGTAAAATGCGGTTCGCTCCTGTGTCAGGACCCTCCGTGGGAAACAGGGGCCCAGGTCACATTGCGGTGGGCAGGGAGGCGGGGGGGGCAGGGAGAGAAGCTGGCCGTCCTGCAACCGGTACCTGCTCAGGTACCTTGCTCAGCCGCGTGAGGATAGCAGGGGATGAGGTGCGAGAAGCACCTGACTCAATCTACTCACGTGCTTTCGTTCGTGCATTCTCAGCCCGCAAACATGGAGCCACGCCGTGTGTGAGACAGCCTCTCCTGACCCGAGGTGGGGAGGGGGGAGGGGAAGGGAGACTGTGATGACACACATGGCTGCAGAGTCCACCCTGCAAGCTGATCAGGGCTCGGATGGAGGCAGTAAGTACTTGGGGGTGGAGGGGCAGAGAGGAGGTGTTCAGGGGACTCTTGAGTTTTCCAGGTAGAACGAGGTGGTAACGGGCCAGGGCGGTCTCAGGAGGGACCCCCCCTAGGGATGAGGGTGGGGCTGATACCCAAGGGAGTGTGTGCTGGCGGGCAGGGCAGGTGGCTGGGCATGGGGATGGGGGAGGGGGAGCGGGCAGGGGGGCAGGAAGGCCCAGGTGAGGCGGGACCGGGCGGACACGGGACTGGGCCCGTTTGCCGGAAGGCAGGTGCAGCCCCAGGAGGGTGTTAAGCTGGGAGGGATCAGGCTTGAGAAAGAAGATTCCGGAAGCCTTACGGAACAGTCTTGCAGCCAGCTGGGTGTCAGAGGAGAGAGGCCTGTTGAGGAAGATAATCCAGGAGGCTTAAGGACCCCCTTCCCCCGACACATCCCCTTATATCTTAATGGATTGTGTAAAAAACAATTTGTTCACATGGATAAGCTGCAGCCGGTAAGCCAAGCTCCTCGCCCCCCCGGACTCCCCCCCTCCCCATGCTCTGCAGACCACTGTAGCTATCGGCGAGTCAGTGCTTTGGGGATGTTGAGCTGATGAAGCAAACAGATGCCCGATAAGGGCCAGGTGAGGGGAAGCAGGTGTGCAGGCCGGGCCGCGGTCCCGGCGTGGACCTCCATGCCCAGACCCGGGTGTACCAGGAGCCGAGGCTGGCGGGAGGTGATAAGAGGAACAGCTGCCGTTCGCCGAGTGCCAACGTGGACCCAGCCCAGAGCCAGGCCCTGTGCCCGCCTTCCAGATCCTCTCCCACAACCCTGTCAGGGGCACATTCCCGAACCCACGTTCACAGACCAGGAAACTGAGGCTCACGACTTTGCTCTGGACTGTGGCCAGAGCCCATGCTCACCCTGCTCTGCCCAGCTGGGGTTCCTCTTGGGATGAAGTGAGGGGATGGGGGCCCCTGAGGAGCAGGTGGGGACAGAGGCTGCAGGTCCAGGTGGGGATTCTCTGCATAGGAGAGCTTCGGGGCACCTGTGCGGGCAGAGCAGCCCGGGCTGCTCAGGCAGCAGACACGGATTCTCACAGTCCTGGAGGCTGGAGGGCCGAGGTCACGGTGTCCGCAGGGTTGCTTTCTCCGTGGGCCTCTCTCCGTGGCTTGCAGGCGGCCACCTTCTTCTCACTGTGTCCCCACATGGTCTTCCCCGTGTCCGTGTCCCAATCGCCCCCTCCCATGAGGACACCGGTCAGATGGTTGCAGGGCCCGGCCCCCCAAGACCTCTCTGACGGCCTGTCTCCAAACCCGGCCACGTGGGGAGGGGCTGGGGGTTAGGGCTTCGTGGATGGAGTTGGGAGGACAAAATGGAGGAGCTGAGGATGCAGGAGCCGAGGGGAGGACCAGGGACAGCTGGCGAGAGCGAGGGAGGCAGTCCCGGGAGCGGGCGGGGAGCTGCTGGGACGAGGGGGGAGGAGAAGTCCGGAGCCTGGCGTTGACCGAGGCCATAAGCTACGGTGAGAGAGGGTGTGTTCCTGAACCCAGAGCTTTTTTTAAAATTTTATTTTATTATTTTTTTAATATGTACATTTTATTGATTTTTTACAGAGAGAAAGAGAGAGGGATAGAGTCAGAAACATCGATGAGAGAGAATCATCGATCAGCTGCCTCTTGCACGCCCCCTACTGGGGACGTTCCTGCAACTACTGTACATGCCCTTGACCCGGATTGAACCTGGGACCCCTCAGTCCGCGGGCCGACCCTCTATCCATTGAGCCAAACCGGTTTCGGCCTGAACCCAGAGCTTTGAAGAATGGAAGGATGGCCCTGGCCGGTTTGGCTCAGTGGATGGAGCGTCAGCCCTTAGACGGAAGAGTCTTGGGTTCGATTCCGGTCAAGGGCAACGTACCTCGGTTGCAGGCTCCTTTTCAGGCCCGGGCCCTGATCAGGGCGTGTGCAGGAGGCAACCCAGCGCTGTGTTTCTCTCCCATCGATGTTTCTCTCTGTCTCTCCCTCTCTCTTCCACTCTCCCTAAAAATCAATGGAAAACTCCACAAAGCCGGGACCGGTTTGGCTCAATGGATAGAGCGTCGGCTTGGGGACTGAAGGGTCCCGGGTTCGATTCCGGTCAAGGGCATGTACCTTGGTTGCGGGCATATCCCCAGTAGGAGGTGTGCAAGAGGCAGCTGATCGATGACTCTTTCTCATCGATGTTTCTAACTCTGTATCTCTCTCCCTTCCTCTCTGTAAAAAATCAATAAAATATATTAAAAAAAAAAAAAAAAAAAAAAAAAAAGAAAACTCCACAAAAAACATGGCCCTGGAGGGCGTCTCTGGCCACTGCAGCTGGGCTGTGAGCCAGGCTCCATGGCGCCCCCACCTGCCTGGTCTCAGCTGGGGGGCCCAGGAAGAGCAGTGGTCCCCCCAATAGCTCCAACCTTTTGCAGCTTTCTTGCTCCAAAGGGGAGGGGACACTTGAGCAGCAGCTGCAGTGGGGCCGCCCGCATGTCCAGGATCTGCAGGCAGCCTGGGGGGTGGAGGGCAGCCAGGAGCCAGGGTGCTTCGGTTTTGCCGTCCTGCCACCAGCCGCAAGGACCCGGATTCTGATGCCAGCCTGAGGGAGCGCGGGCGTGGCCCCCCGCCCCAGCCCTGCCCAGGGACGCCGTGCCTGCCTCCTGACTCACGGAATCTGTGAGTCACACGTGTGTTTGTTTTTAAGGCTCAGGATGGAGCCTTATTTTTGGAACCGAAGGCCCTCTGTCCCACAGGCCCAGAAGTGTCTTCGTGATGAGCTGGTGACCGGACCAGCTCAGACCCAGGCCTCTAGACTCCTACCCAGAGTTCCCTCTGCCTGCCCTGCCCTGTCCCCATGACCCCATGAGGGAGGCCAGGGTCCTGGTGGGATAGGAATCAAGAGGGACCCCTGGCCCTCGTGGGTGTGGCTCACTGGATAAAGCGTTGGACTGCGGGACTGGAAGGTCCTGGGTTTGATTCCCGGTCAGGGCACAGGCTCAGGTTGCAGGCTAGGTCCCCAATAGGGGGCGTGCAGGAGGCAGCAGATCAATGATTCATTGTTGGTGTTTCTATCTCTCTACCTCCCTCTCCCTTCCTCGCTGAAATCAATAAAAATACATTAAAAACAAACAAACCAAAAAGTGACCCCCTAGCCAAGCTGGTGTGGCTCAGGGGTTAAGTATCGACCCATGAACCAGGAGGTCAGAGTTCGGTTCCCGCTCAGGCCACATGCCCGGGTTTCAGGCTTGATCTGCAGTGTAGGGTGTGTAAGAGGCAGCCGATCCATGATTCTCTCTCATCATGGATGTTTCTCTCTCTCTCTCTCCCTCTCCCTTCCTCTCTGACATAAATAAACACACACACACACACACACACAGCTGCCTCTTGGTTTGGGTGGGTGTGGGGTGAGCCGCACTGAGCCGGAGCGGGGAGGGGTGGAGGGGCAGGTGGGAGCAGCTCGGTGCCCAGTGGAGGCTCAGGCTGCAGCCGTCAGGAATGCGCGGCCCGCTGTGCAGCCATGAGCCTGGGCAGGGTCTCTCAGGAGGAACAAGAAACAGCTCTTCCCGTGCCCCCGGCTGTTCGCCAGGCTGCTGGCCGGGGCTCGGAGAGCTGGCGAGACGCCCTTCCTGCAAGGAGGGCACCGGCAGAGGCAGACAGACACGGGCACATCCCCCAGACCACCAATCCCTCCATAAACACGGCCCCTTCCGGAATGTGGATTCCCCATGGGTGCGAGCGTCCTGCTGGGGGAATGAGCCCGCAATCAGCCAGAGGGAGCGGATGTGGATTGGGGCTTTTACCCAGGGCGGACCAGCTGGGCGGGGGAGGGCAGCCTCAGCCTTTGTCATGCAGAGGAAGGAGCCCCGTGCATCTGGGGGAGTCCCGGCCTCTGCAGGTTGGATTGGGCCTGAAGGTCAGAGGTCGGGGGGGAGGGGGTCATCATCCCCGAGCTGGATCTGCAGGGCTGGAGAGGAGCAGCGCAGTGGGGACAGGTGGAGGTCACCGCCCCTGACTGAGGACCTAACCTTGGACTGGAGTTGAGGACATGGTGGGAAGATGGGTTTGACCCCCACCAGAGTCCAGGCTGCCAGGGGAGGGCCGCAAGGAAGGGGGCGGTCAGAGGTCACCTCCCAGACTCCATGGTGAGGAGGGCCTGAAACTGGGCCCAGGCTCAGAGCCAAAGGGGACAGACGCCGAGGTTGGGGACAGCTGGGTTAGAGAGCCCAGCCTCTGGGGTCTCCAGGGTGGCACCTGTCGCCCTCCCAGCCAGGGGCAGACACTACTGTGGGTGCTCCAGAGACGCCCCGAGGCCCAGCCCCAGGAGCCCTGGGCTGCCCCAAAGCTGCACCCATCACCCCTGACCCCAAGCCAGGGGCCCACGTGGCTCCTTGGAGTCTGCAGACCTACCCCTGGGAGGGCCTCCCGGATCTTCCCCAGCAGCTGAGCCTCTGGCATCAGCAGGCGGCCCTTCCCTGGCTCCCTGGCTCCCTGGCTCCCTCGCTCCCTGGCTCCCCAGGTTCCGGAGGGTGGGGGCAGGGAGGAAGAAGAACCCCCGTGTCCGACCAAAGTGCCCCCAGACTGGGCTCAGGGCCTGGTCCAAATTGGTCCTCATCTAGGGCCCCCCATGACCTTGCCCCCCATGACTCTGCCCCCCTTCCTCCCTCAGGATGGAAGATCTGACTCCAGGGCCCGGGGCCCATCTCCCGCCAGACCGGGCGAGCTGGGCCAGACTCAGGTGGGGGTGGAGGCAGGGTGGGGGTGTGTGGGTGGGTGGGGGGGATGGGGGAGCAGCCCCTCCTTCTGCATGACAAAGCCTGGGGCTCCCTCCCGCCCAGCCCACACTGTGAGGGGCCTCCCAATCCACAGTCCCCCCTCCTCTGGGCCTCCAGCGAGGGTGGCCAGGTTTAGCAAATAAAAACATACAATTCCCGGGAAAATGTCCGTTTCCCATAAACGACCAATCATGAGGACGTCCCACGTGGTGTCTGTCCCCTATTTGTATTTTATTTAGTCACCGGCCCCTGGCTGGCCGCCCAGGTGGCTTATTTCCCCAGGAAAACGGTTCCGCTGGCCTCAATCCACATCCAGGCCCAGGAGGCCTCAGGGAGCCACGGACCCGCCTCTCCCCCAGCCCCCTCCCGCACCCCCCACCTGCACGGAGGGTACGGGGCCAGCTTGGGGGGCCGGACAGGGCCTGGCTGGAGACAGCTCGGGGCAGCGGAAAGGGCTGTGGGCTGGGAAGCTGAAGATTTGACTTGGTGCCTCCGTCACAAACTGTGTGGCCCCGGGGAGGTCGTGGCCTGGCTGAGCCTTGGTTTCCTGGGCTCAGACATTGGAGAAAGGGGTGCACTGCCCCCCCCCCCGCCCACCGGAGGGACCATGGAGGGGCCTTTCCATCCTGACATCTAGACAGCCCTGCTTTTTAACCGCTCGTCCCGAATAACCCGGACTTTTTAAAAGACGCCACGGGATGCGGGACGCATTGTTAAAAATCGGGACACCTTAATCTAGACCCACAGAGAGCCAAGAAGAGGGAGAGGACTCACTTAGTGGACAAGACCTCACTGTCGCCCCATCCCACCCCCGACAACGGGAAACACGGGGTTTCCTGTCCAGGGGCAGCCCAGCACCCCAGCTGCCCCCAGGTGCCCCCTGGGCACCGGTCCCTGCAGGCAGGCGGGTCCTCGGGAAGCCCTGGCATTGAAGGGCAGTTCCCTTGCAGCAAGGAACAGACTCACAGTCCACACACCAGGGACCCCCCCGCCGCTCCGTCCCTGGGAGACGGGGTGCAGCAGAGAATGAGGTGCCCATCTCTTCTCCCCGATACAGACGGCCCCTCCTCAGGCCCAGGGCCCTGTCTGGCCCAGGAGCTCCCAGGAGGGCGAGGGGTGTGACTTCCCTCCCTCCCTCCCTCTCCCCACCCGGGCCCAGCCCAGGGCTGGCTATAAAGCTGGCCCAGCCCGGCCCTCAGCACGCCCCGCTGCTGGGACCCTCCTGGAGCCTCGTCAGGGGACACAGCCGCTCTGCCCGTCCTCCCAAGTGGCAGCATGAGGGCCCTGTGGCTGTGCTGGGCGCTGGGGGCGCTGGGCCTGGCCGGGCGCGGGGCGGCCGTGACCGAGGAGCAGGTCCTGGGCAGCCTGCTGCGGCAGCTGCAGCTGAGCGAGCCGCCCGCGCTGGGCCAGCAGGACGCGGGGCGGCCGGTGCCCCCTGCCCACGTGCGGGCCCAGTACGTGGCCCTGCTGCAGCGCGGCCACGGCGTGCCCTCCCGGGGGAAGCGGTTCAGCCAGAACTTCCGAGGTGAGGCCCTCCCTGCTCCCTGGCCCGTGTGTGTGCGTGTGCATGCATGTGTGTGTCTGTGTGTGTGTGTGTGTGTGTGCATGTGTGTGTGCTAAGACTGGATGTGCCCATCTGGGGGGCCAGGGACCTGCTCCCCACCCAGGCGGGGTGCCCGGGGAGAGGAGGAGGCCTGGCACAGACCCCTCCACTCCTGATGCCAACCTGGAGTCCCGGATGCGGGGGAACGGGGCGCCCGGTACCTCTGCTGTCCGTGACCCCATTACCTCTGGGCTCAGGCGTCTGAGAAGGTTGTTCGCAAGCCCCTGGCGCCTCTTCTGTTTCTTGGGGGGACGTTTCCCCAAAGAGGAAAATGGGGACAAATTCAGGGCTCTCCCCCAGCCCCGCAGGCAGAGCCAGGTCCAGCTGGGACCAGATCGCCCCACGGCCGGGCGCCTCTGTCTCCCACGCCCCATCCCTCCTCGCCCGACCTGGTGCCGCCACCTCCGTGTCCACTCCGGCCCCCACGGAGGGCGGGGCCGCCAGCAAAGAAGCCCCCATGCAAACGATGGCCCGAAACCAGTAGAAATATTTAAAAATCTGTTTTTATTGATTGTTAGAGAGAGGAAGGCAGGCATAGAGAGAAGATAGACACAGCAAAGAGGGAGAAACGTCAACGTCAGCTGCCTCCTGCACGCCCCACCCTGGGGATGGAGCCCGCAACCCGGGCCTGTGCCCTAACCGGGAGTCAAACCCTGACCTCCTGGATCATGGTCAGTGCGCAACCCCTGAGCCCCACCAACAGGGCTGGGAATATATATATATATATATATATATATATATATATATATATATATATATATATTTTAATATATTTTATTGATTTTTTACAGAGAGGAAGGGAGAGGGACAGAGAGCCAGGAACATCGATGAGAGAGAAACATTGATCAGCTGCCTCCTGCACACCCCCCCACTGGGGATGTGCCCACAACCAAGGTACATGCCCTTGACTGGAATCGAACCTGGGGGGCCCTTCAGTCTGCAGGCCGACGCTCTATCCACTGAGCCACACTGGTTTCGGCTGGGCTGGGAATATTTTTAAGGTGGAGGTGCCCTCTTTGGTACCTGACCCCCCCTCCTCCCCCCGTTTCCCAAGCCCGGTTGCCCTCCTTGTGCATTATTGGGGAAGCCCTGCCCCAGGCTCAGCCCTGCCCCCTCAGAGGTGCCCTGACGCTGTGTCGCCCCCCCAGAGGTGGCCGGCCGGTTCCTGGTGTCCGAGGCCTCCACGCACCTGCTGGTGTTCGGCATGGAGCGGCGGCTGCCCCCCAACAGCGAGCTGGTGCAGGCGGAGCTGCGCCTCCTGCAGGAGCCGGTGCCCCCGGCCGCCCTCCGCCAGCACCAGCGCCTGGCCCCGCGCAGCGACCTGGCCCGCGTCTCCATCGAGTGGCTGCAGGTGCGGGCCGACGGCTCCAACCGCACCGCCCTCGTGGACTCCAGGTGGGGTGCCCGGGGCGCTGGGGGGGGGGGGAGGGAGGGAAAGGGGAGGGCGGGAGGGGGTGAGGGGAAAGGGATGGGGGGCTGGGAGAGGCGTCCCCGGTCCCCAGCCCTCAGTCCCGGTGTCTGCCGCAGGCTGGTGTCCGTCCACGAGAGCGGCTGGAAGGCCTTCGACGTGACGGAGGCCGTGAGCTTCTGGCAGCAGCTGAGCCGGCCCCGGGAGCCGCTGCTGCTGCGGGTGTCGGTGCAGCGGGAGCACCTGGGGCCGCTGGCCTCCAGCGCCCACAGGCTGGTGCGCTTCGCCGCCCGGGGGCCGGCGGAGGGCGCGCAGGGCGAGCCCCAGCTGGAGCTGCACACGCTGGACCTCGGCCACTTCGGGTGAGCGCCCTGGGCGGAGGGTGAGCCCGGCGGACACCCCGATAGAGAATCGCCCCGCCATGGACACGGGCCTCTCCTCTCAGTCGGCCGGGGGCGTGGAGGGGGATGTGACGTTTCTCCTTTTGAATCTTAGGAGCCATCGCACCTGCTTATCTGTGTTTGGGTTTTATCCAGTGATCGATCTTGTCACACACATCCAGCTTTGTTATTTTATATATTTTTTTTATTGATTTTTTTTTTTTTTTTTTTTTTTTTTTTTTTTTTTTTACAGAGAGGAAGGGAGAGGGATAAAGAGTTAGAAACATCGATGAGCCGAAATCGGTGTGGCTCCGTGGATAGAGCGTTGGCCTGCGGACTGAGGGTCCCAGGTTCGATTCCGGTCAAGGGCATGGACCTTGGTTGCGGGCACGTCCCCGGTAGGGGGTGTGCAGGACGCAGCTGATCGATGACTCTCTCTCATCGATGTTTCTAACCCTCTATCCCTCTCTTTTCCTCTCTGTAAAAAATCAATAAAATATATTATGAAAAAAAGAAACATCGATGAGAGAGAACCATCTTCCATCAGCTGCCTCCTGCACACCCCCTACCAAGGACGTGCCTGCAACCAAGGCACATGCCCTTGACTGGAATCGAACCTGGGACCCTTCAGTCCACAGGCCTAGGCTCTATCCATAGAGCCATACCAGTCAGGGCCACATCCAGCTTTTTTGAACATCACGAAAGATAGATCACACGTCTCCCTCCCAGATGCCCCACTGGGCCCTGCCCCGGTCCCCCGACCCTCTGCCCTCCGCACTGACCTCTGACCCCGCCTCTCCTTGCCCCCCCACAGAGCTCAGGGCAACTGTGACCCCGAGGCACCCGTGACTGAGGGCACCCGCTGCTGCCGCCGGGAGACATACATCGACCTGCAGGGGATGACGTGGGCGCAGAACTGGGTGCTGGAGCCCCCGGGCTTCCTGGCCTACGAGTGCGTGGGCACCTGCCCGCAGCCCCCGGCCGCCCTGGCCGCCCGGTGGCCCTTCCTGGGGCCGCGGCAGTGCGTCGCCTCGGAGACCGTCCCGCTGCCCATGATCGTGAGCGTCCAGGAGGGCGGCCGGGCCCGCGCCCGGGTGGTCAGCCTGCCCGACATGCGGGTGCAGACGTGCAGCTGCGCCTTGGACGGGGCGCCCGTGCCCCGGAGGCTGGAGCCGTAGGCGCTGGGCACGGCCTCCGTGGGGCTTGATTGGCGTGCCTCCGAAGGGTACTGGGTGCCAGGAAAGAGATGGGGGCTGCGGATGGGCACATGCTCTGTGCTCTGCTGAGCTCTGAATCCGCTTCCTCCAACTGGTCAGCTCACCTGCTCATATCCGCCCCCAGGAACAAGACTCTGGGGTCACCGGGCAGCCCGTCCAGGCTCCTGGCTCCTTCGTATTACCCGCCGCACTAGCTCCTAAGCACTTACCCGGGTCAGTTCTGTCCTCTGAGAGCCGAAACGCCCGTCTGTCATGGTTCCCCTCTCCCAGGAGCTGGGATGAGTCTGGTAAGGACTAGAGACTCAGCGGCCACTCTGGGCTTCGCGCCGAGGCTCAGGTGTGGGTTGTATGTTCTGATCTCAGACACAGAGGGCATTTTTGCAAGAATGAAAAGAAAACACATCTTCTTCTGCATTTTAAAAAAATATTTTACCAAGAAGCCTGCCCGCAGTGGAGGACACGGAATGTTCTCTAGAGGGACGAGGTTAACGCGATTAGAAGGCCATGGCCAAGGTCTCCGTTTGGAAGGACAGGGGAGAAGGAGGAAGCCCGATGGGGCAGAAAAGGACTGTCAGATGCAGGAGGAGACCCCCCTGCCCCCGCACCCCCCTCCCAGCTGGAGCCACAGGCTGGTGCGAGGGTCCTGGGCAGGGAGGTAAGAGGGTTGGCATCCCGCCCCCCCCAAAAAAAAGGATGAGAGACTAGCTCTGACCGGTTTGGCTCAGTGGATAGAGCCTCAGCCTGCGGACTGAAAGGTCCCAGGTTCGATTCGGTCAAGGGCATGTACCTTGGTTGCGGGCACAGCCCCAGTTGGGGGGGGGGGTGTAAGAGGCAGCTGATCGATGTTTCTCTCTCATCCTTGTTTCCAACTCTATCCCTTTCCCTTCCTCTATAAAAAAATCAGTAAAATATATATTTTTAAAAAGCAGTGGTCATGGACAACGGGGGGGGGGGGGGGGGAATACGTGGGGAGGCGTTTGGGATGGGAATGGGGGGATGAGGACAATTCTGTGATACCATAATCAATAAAGAAATTAAAAAAATAAAAAGGCCAAAACCGGTTTGGCTCAGTGGATAGAGCGTCGGCCTGCGGACTGAAGGGTCCCGGGTTCGATTCTGGTCAAGGGCATGTACCTTGGTTGCGAGCACATCCCCAGTGGGGGGTGTGCAAGAGGCAGCTGGTCGATGACTCTCTCTCATCGATGTTTCTAACTCTCTATCCCTCTGTTTTCCTCTCTGTAAAAATCAATAAAATATATTTAAAAAGAAAAAAAGAAAAAATAGAAAAGAAAAACAAGGATGAGAGCCTCGGAATGGAGCCCGCAGGGCGGCGCCCCTGTGCTGAGCAGGCACCCATCCAGGGCAGGAAGCCCCGGAGGAGGCTCTGGCCCGCCCCGGGTCTCGCAGGTGCAAACCGAGGCCAAGAAGGAGCGCAGTTTGCACCCGTCCTCCCCGGCCCGGCCCCGCGCCCTGCGCCCCCCGGGTGCGCCCCCCGCGCCCGGCCGCCTACCGTCCGCCTGGAGGACGCCCCGGTCCCCAGCCCGGAGATCGGTGCCCCGGTGACCCCGATCGGAGGCCCGGGCTGTACCTTAGGGCTTCCGTTTGGGGTACCCGGGGCCCCTCGGACTCGGGCGCTCCCGGCGGCACCGATGGCCGTGGATTTGCGGGGAGCCCCCCTGCTCCGGCTGGGAAATTAAGTGCAAAACGGGGGCCGCCACCCCTGACGGGGGCGAAGCCAAGGCTCCCCGGCGCCGCCTCCGCCTCCGCGACCACCAGTGCGCGGCCGGGCCTCCGGGGCGCAGGGCGCGGGGATCGGGGGTGCAGGGCTGAGCCCCGGGGCGGCGGCGCCCTCGGACCCCGGACCGGAGCCGGCGGGCGCCCCGCGGAGGCGGGAGGGAGGGAGGGATATAAGAAGGGAGGGGGGAGGGAGGAGGGGGGAGGGAGGGGGGAGGGAGGAGGGGGGAGGGAGGAGGGGGGAGGGGGGAGGGAGGAGGGGGGAGGGGGGAGGGGGAGGGGGGAGGGAGGGAGGAATATAAGGAGGGAGGGAGGAGGGAGGAGGGGAGGGAGGGAGGAGGGAGGGAGGGAGGAGGGAGGGAGGGAGGAGGGAGGGAGGGAGGAGGGAGGGAGGGAGGGAGGAGGGAGGGAGGGAGGAATATAAGGAGGGAGGGAGGAGGGAGGAGGGAGGGAGGGAGGAGGGAGGGAGGGAGGAGGGAGGGAGGGAGGAGGGAGGGAGGGAGGGAGGGAGGGAGGGGGGGAGGGGGAGGAGGGAGGGAGGGAGGAATATAAGGAGGGAGGAGGGAGGAGGGAGGGAGGGAGGAATATAAGGAGGGAGGAGGGAGGAGGGAAGAAGGGAGGAGGGAGGAGGGAGGAGGAGGGGGCGCGGCCGGGACGCCCTCCCCGCGGCGGCGGCGGCGGCGGCGGCGGCGGCGGCGGCCCCGGCGCGCAGGCCGCGCTGCGCATGTGCGCGGCGGCGGAGTTTCACTTTGTAACTTTCGGGCTCGGGACGCGCCGGCCGGGCGGGCGGGCGGACAGACGGACGGACTCCCCGCTGCGCCCCCCGCCGCCGCCGCCGCCGCAGGTAAAGGGACGGGGCGGGTGGGGAGGGGCCGCCGCGCCGGGGGGTCCCCCCGCCTCCGGATCTGGGGGTCCCGGCTCCGCGCAAGTGTCCGAGGTTCGGGGCGCGGCCCTCGGACCCGCAGCCCCCCGGGCTCGGGGGGCGCAGAGGGTCAGCCCGGGCCCCGCCGCCGCGCGCTCCTCCCGGGCCACCGGCTGCGTGTGTGTCTCTCTCTCTCTCTCTCTCTCTCTCTCTCTCTCTCTCTCTCTCTCTCTCTCCCCCTCTCTCTCTCTCTCTCTCTCTCCCCCCCCCCTCTCTCTCTCTCTCTCCCCCTCTCTCTCCCCCCCCCCCCCTCTCTCTCTCTCTCTCCACGCGGCTCCGAGGTCCCCTCCTCGCCTCCCGCCCTCCCGGTCTTTGGGGATCCGTCCCCGGGAAGCCGACCTCCCCTCCCTCCCGCCCCGCCGGGGGCGCACGCCGCCCGGGCGCGTCCTCTGGGCACCGGGCACCGCGGCCGGCGGGAGGCCGGGGCCTCCAAGGGTCAGCCCCGGGGAAGGAGTCCACCTGGTGGCGGATCAGGCCGCCCGGGAGCTTCCTTCTCCCCTGAAGTCTGTGCGGCGGAGTGCCAGCCCCTGGACGGCAGCCGGTGGGGGTGGGTCATGCGCACCCATGGGTGGGCGCTGTGGGTGCCAGGGGACCATGGGGGATCCTGGCCCCTGCAGGGTGGTCGGCACCCACTGGGGCTCAGGAAAGACTCCGAGGCAGGGGGGCATCCCTTACAGGTTTCCCCTCCCTCTCCCCAAACCCCACTGTCTTTTTAAAAAAAATTATATATTTTATTGATTTTTTACAGAGAGAGAGAGAGAGATGAGAGTTAGAAACATCGATGAGAGAGAATCATGCACCAGCTGCCTCCTGCACACCCCTCACTGGGGATGTGCCCACCACTAAGGTCCATGCCCTTGACCGGAATCGAACCCGGGACCCTTGAGTCCTCAGGCCGACGCTCTATCCACGGAGCCACACCGGTTTCGGCTGCTGGTGTCTCTGGAAGAAATGAGATCTTCAGAGGAAGTGTGTCCCCCTCCCACCTTCCCGGGGGCCACTGCTTGCTGCCAGCTCCGGTGGGCAGCCGGCTAGCCTTGGTGGCTGACTTGCTTTGGCGAGCGTGAGGACAGCTGTTGGACCCGGCCCTCTGTCCACAGCCAGATTCCGGGGGGCACGCGGGCTGAACTTGGGAGTGGGGGCATGAATCCCCGCTGCCTAGAATCTGGCCCAGCGGGAAGTCTTGGGTCTCCCCGGCTCAGGGTCTTGGCTGGAAATGAGCCCAGGAGGCAGGGAGCAGCGCGAGGCATTTGCATACACGTGCCAAACAAATCCTATATCATAAATAGGCGATATGCAAATGGACCATTACTCCAACACACACGATGGCCGCCCCTATGTGGTCAAAGATGGCCACCCCCATATGGACACAAGATGGCCTGCAGGGGAGGGCAGTTGGGAGTGACCGGGCTGACAAGGGAGGGCA